ATAGCTTACGCTATGGTGAGAGTCCGAGGTCGAAGTCTTCCTCTTGGCTCTATCGGTTGTTGCCCGCGGATGACTAGTAATTTTAGTTGATTCTGCCTTCGCTTATCAAATAAATAGATTAGAAAAGGTCGATCCTAGCTGTAGCACACAATCTTTCGGTACCGATTTTCCGCGTTTTTCTAGTTTAGATATAGCACAATGAATTTCGAACCGAAATATCCTAAAAAAGTTACGTGTAATTGGCTTTTAGCAGATATCTCCTGGGCTCTTTGATTGCGAACCCAGGTTAGTCGGACCACCCTTACCCATTCACTTTTTCAGATATCTCAAAAAATTCGTCCTCTGGGGTAAGGGTAGCCGTATATTATCGGTTGCCCCTACTTATCTATTAGCATTCGATTCCCTTCTGATTAAAATCAACCTTCCACACAATTGTCTTCTACTTCTTCGTTCCATTTCCCCACTAACAGTTCTACATAATATTTAATTTCTTCCAGCTTTTCAGCTCTTGATTCTTATCCTATTTCACGAGAACCGTGGAACCGTGCTCCAAACTATATATCTGAGCTTTCAATATCCGAAATCCGACAGTAAGCTTAACGAGCCAAAACTATAGCTTCATGAGCTATAGAAACATTCAAAACTCAATTATGGTCATTAGTGTGGTCTCATCTGTTTAATACAATGTATATGCCAAATCCATTTTCAGAGTCTATTAAGGTTCGTTGGCTACTTCTGGTTGTTTTTCGAACTTAGGTATTGCATCAAGACATGAGGCAGAAAGCAATTTTCTTGACTGGATCCAAGTTGACAATTACCTGCATGCTGTCTGGCTAAATTGTATAGTGAAAGCTAGAAAGGGTCGTGATACCTCTCCTTTTTATAGCCTTCAATCATATACTTCACTAATTGTAATTCGGATGAGGTGAAAGTTAAGTTTTCCCGAAAATCGTATAGCTAACTGCCCAATTCAAAAGGCTTAGACGTAGTCATTGTATCGAGTGGCTGCAATGCCCAAGTAAGAAGGGTAGAAAACGCCATGGCACTTTGGTGGTACTTTCAGAATCCTGACCGAGCGAAGGGATAATGGCGGCCACCTGCTACAATTGTACTTGGAAAACCAACTATCTGTGAACAGCACGAATCTTAGACTTCGAGAGATACAGTTTGGAGTTGTATTGACTGACATCAAATCAATGGTGGGCATAGGTTGACCGCATGGATCTTGGTTATCAGTGAGAAATTCCTGCGCCTTCTAGTGCGCAAGCTTACGCATTCACCTTGTGTTAGTTTGTGCTTATGGGTCTGTACCCTTAGTGGGTTTTAAAATACTACAACTGTAAAGTGTTTACGAGTTCAACATGATGAGTATGCTAAGGTTGTTTTCAAGAGATGATTGGCCAGACAACGTTACTCATCATGAAAAAGCCTAGTGCTATTTCCTTTTTGTTTTAACAAAGATGTTGAAGACTAGCTTTTCCCTGGAAAAAAAGGTAGGCGGAATCAGTGAATCTCAGGAGCTTCATGCAAACTAATGGATGCGTGTAAACACACCTGCAAATGCCAAGTACGATAAATTGAAGCAAGTCTATTGTACACTAACAAAGAGTGTAAGCAATGGTCATGAGAAGTGTTAGTCATGGGGGACTAGGAAAACGAAAAAGGCAGTGGCAATAGACAATAGTCGGTAGATGCTTAGACTTATCAAGGAAACGGGTGAAAAAGTCGATGGTTAATGAAACTGCAGCAGAGGAACATGTGTCAGGGATCGATTGACGGTGGAGGTAACTGAATCCATAAGCAGAGTAGCTTAACTGGTCTTCGGTTCCTATTCACTTGCTCACTATTAGATTGGATCCTGAAAAGACGATTGATACAGGGCCTGCAACTCTTACAAAGGTTGAGAAGTTCAGAAGTAACCTGAAATTAAGAGGGGCAGCGGACTGCGATAGGCTTGCACTAGAGATATCTAAGGATGGCTGCGGAGGTTTATTGTTTAGATCAATTTTAGTTTTACGTGGTGTTTGGGAATCAGATGTAATCCTGTCTGACTAATCTCGATCATTGATTGTCCTTGTTTTCAAGAAAAAATAAAGATCCCTGTGTTGATCGCACAGAAACTAGCCTACGGAACGCAGTGTCTTATATTCTAGGTTCTATGATAATATACTCAGGAAGAACAATCACGAGAAACTCAGACAGGTTCAGAACCCGTTTTTAAGTGTGTCGACCAGATGTTCAGCCTTTGAAAGATATTTTACCACACACACACTTTCTGGCATTTGACACCAGCTGTATGTCTTGACCTGAAGATGGTGTTCAAGTGTATCAGGTGAGTGGTCTTATGGTAGTCTCATCAAAAGCACGTCAACCTGTTGAGTACTCATATGAAAGTCTCGTCTGCCGAAGATACTAACACAATATAGAGCCTTGTGGGCATATTAAATGCCAATTTGAAAATATTTGGGATGTATTTCTGACCACCTCTATTCAAGTCGTTTCTCTAGGATTGGTCTGCATTGGTGCCTTCCCAACAATTGGGAGTGAAACGGTTGAGCGCATTGATCACTACACATACTTGGAAAGTTGGATCATCCTAAATGATGTAGTCACCACTGAAGTTTCTACACTGGTATAAACAACTTTCCTGCCCTTTGTAAAATTACGGTACCTATGATATCGTGAGATATCCGATTACCTATTAAGGGTTGGGTGTATTGTGCGGCGATTCGATATGTCCTATCATATATCTGTGAGACGCAGTCATTCATGGTAGAGAATATGAGGAGGTTTTAGATGTTCAATCTCTATCGCCTTTGTAGCATTTTCTGTATGTTATGGAACCGGCACTTTAGTGGTATAGAGGTTAAATGTAAACTAGTTAAATGAGTCGATTGATAAGATTGTAAACTTTCGTTAATTCAGGATGTTGGGATACACATCATTCATATCTATCTACTATCTATTTCGTCATAAAATTTTATCCGAAGTAGGTTTAGATTGAATAAAAGTCAAAGGCAGATAGAATAAAGTAGCACCAGTCTATGAAGTTACAGGCAGTCGGTCTAAGCGTTTAAGAGAATTCTCGCTATGTTGTTTCGGTTCCGCGTGCCAACTGAAATATGTGTTCAGAGAATCTATGTGATGCACCCATGAGTCGATTGTGGAGGTGCAGATGCATCAACACATTATTTTCATCTAAATTTTTGTGTCTCATTTCGTCATTGCTTAACCCCCCTCTTTCTTTCTTTTTATGACATCCTAAAAAAAATTCACGTTTCTCTGTTTTCCTGTTTTTGATTTTGCCGCTTTTTATTTACTGACGTGAAGAAATATTAGCATAAACAAGTCTTAAAGTGCCACTCGTATTTTGGAGTTGAGAAACGCACCGTTACCGTCGTCTAAATGCTATGTCTTGTTAGCGTCTTCACTCAGCAGGATTGCGTTGACTGCTTATTTGGATTCGAATGAGGAATCTCCCATCAAGAGATCAACTTCTGTAGGATTTTAGGAATGGGTGACTTTATGAGCTGTTTGACGTTGGGATGGTATAACAGGCAAAGTTATCGCTATTACAAACTGTCGCACATACATTGAAATCACTTAGCAGCCACCATTAATTCACAGGCGTTAGCCTTATCAGCATATTTTTCAATCCTTCAATATGTTATATGTTTGCGTGATCGGTGTATTGAAGAAGCGGACTGGAGTAATTAAAGGATTTCTAGAAGGTAAGAATGTGGGAGGTGAGCAGTGACCTGAAGGAGCTTAAGTACTGACAGAGTTGTGAGGAGATGGAGCTCTCCCTCTCTTGATCTGATATCACAGGGATTGATCTAATCACTAGGGAATCCTTGGTAGACCTAGAATATGGAGATGACCTAGTCCTGTTAGTTTAAGACCCTAACAAGATGCATAGTCTTCTGGACATCTTGAGTGGCAGTTTAAGAATGTTTGGGATGGTTTCTCGCCACCCATATGCAAGTCATTGCTCCAGGATTAGTCTTTAGCGGTGCCCTGGATAGCAATAGACAGTGAAGTTGTTAAGCACGTTGACCACTTCACTTACTTGGGAAGTTGAATCAGCCGTGGTGGGTGGGTCAGTTGCCGACGAAATCTCTGTACGAATCCAATGGCCTTGATTGGCTTTCGGCAAATTACGCCATCTGTGGCGCCACCGCGATATTCGATTGCTTCTTAAGGGTCGAATATATTATGCTGCAGTCCTATTCGTTCTATAATTGTGAAACGGCCATTAAAGGCAGAGAATATGGGAGGGCTTTTGGTATTTGACCACCGTTGTCTTTGTAGCATAGGCTGTGTTTCACGGTATCACCACGTGAGTAACGCAAAAGTTGGGCATAGAGGTTTTGCAAGGAGTGAGAAGTCAGTTGGTGGCTGAGACATGTGTTACACATACCTAGTTACCATCTGCTTCATCGCACAATGTTCGTTTAAGTAGGTTCAGGCTGGAAAAAGGTTCAGGACGGTCACACTAAAAGGTGGTGTCACTGCATGAAGTCTTTGACTGTCATTTTAGGAGATGTAGACTAGCCGGTTGTAGTCCTTGTGATAACAGAACTCAGTGGTTGAAGACTTCAGGTAATATGGCACATAATGGATCTCAGTGGTGCAGATGTATTCACACATTATGTTAATCTTAACCGCTATACTGAGTTCAGCATTTTCTCGTTCTTTCTTCATCTCTCATCTTACTGTTTTGTTACTTGTTGTATTCATATGAAGTGTAGCAACTTGGACCGTTGTTCAGTAATCCTTGGTTGAATGAAAGGATTTCTAGGAATGATAAAGTCATTTTCCAAAACTTTGAAGCTAGTGACATCGATAAACAACTGTGTATTTTCCCTGGAGATCTTGTTATTCGAATGACACTAACTAATTTATGTTTCCTTAATTAGAAAGCTATTGATTTAATTCTTACAATACGTAAATAGTAAGTAATCAACTTTTTATTCTTTCAACTTTTCATTTTCTTTCAGTGGACTTACATCGTTCCAGCAGTTTTCTTATTCATTCTATTCTCCAGTATGCAAGATCCTAATGCAGCTGGAGGAAACACGGGTGGTGGAAATCGACAGTAAACGCCTTCATTGTAAAGACAATTTTTGAAGTTTTTATTTATCTGAAATATTCCTTTGATCTTGTATAGCTTTAATATAATTTTGTACTACTGACTCGTATATTGTCTTGTGTTTCGTTGTTAGGAAAAGTCAATTATAAAGTTTATGCAAACTATATTTTATGATTCCCAGGTTGTTATTCATCATGAACCAACATCAGTTGGGGAACCATTGAAAACCTGGAAGCACTAGAAAACTATTTTGTCCTAGTATGTGGCTCCTCAATGGTGCTCACCCATGACCCTATCCGAGATCGAACCCAAGGACTTCTGGTTCTATAGTGAGCACTTTACCACTTAGCCACTGTCAGCTCGTCGAGTATCTGTCCTCATAATTTACTTAGGCATACTAAAAACTCTCTCCAGAGATTCATGGTAGCATTATTTTTGCAGAATAATTCCTTTGGTTAATCTCCCAATGGTATTCAAAATGGTGTATTACTGCACATCTGATGTTGTATTCATGTTGGTGTCTGGCAGTGGAATCTAGGACACACCTTTTGTTCTGTTTAAGACTCATCAGCTAGATGTACCTGCACCTCAGCGAGTGATGTTCCCACTGAGACTCAAAAGCCGAAGCGTAATCCACTAGGCAACTGAGGCACATGTAATGCATTATCGTCAAATTTTTAAGGTTGTGTTTGGTACAAATCACTTTGCATTTCATTTCATGCATGAGTTACGGTAGTTGTCTTTGTTGGATTTCATACTCACTCTGTAACCTGATCTTTAATTAAGTCCATGAGTCAGTGAAGTATTATGTTTTTCCGTGGAGTTGTCTTTCATTGGTATAGGAAGCTGACCTTTGAGCACTGGGTCATGGGTTTCAACACTGCTCCACCTACCGAGGTTTGAGAAGCTAGGTAGTATCATTAACCCTCACGCAACATATGTGGTTCATTGTCTACTGGATGGATATGCACAAGGTCACTGGGTGAGTTCCACGTTTATCCACTCCACTAAACAAGTCATTATTCTAATGCCTACTGATGTGAATTTTAGTTAATGCCATGTCGTTTTTTAACAAGACGTTGGTTTACTTACTATGGAAGTATTTATATACTTGAATATCTGATATCTTAATCTATTTTGTAAATCGTGAAAGGGATATATTTTAGTAGGGGAGTCGTTGCACAAAAATGTGGATTTCCAAAAGAACAAATGAACTTTTTTTTGCCCTAGCACAATAGGTAATCGTGTCAAATTGTTACACTTTCAGCAGCGCAAAAATTGAAACGAGATGATTAAAGTATGAAGATGAACTAGAAGGTGGTCGAATGAAAACGATCAGTTCGTATTAAACTCTAAACAGACTTGCATCACTTTAAGCTATCACACTTGACAAGAGCGTGCAGAGAAGAAGTTGATAGACAAAGAAGAAGTGTACGAAAGTTGACTGACTGAAACTGACAAAATCAACGTAGAACCTCGCACATAAGTGTAACAACTCAAGTTGCCATACTTCACATTAGTATACAAAGAAAAGATGGATCGAAAAAGAGTGACCTCAAAGGTGTCTATGGGAGGATAGGGAATTTAAACATGACGGTTGGTCAAGACATCATCAAAAAATGGACACATTTGTGCAATTGTGACCGATTTTCAGCCATGTCACCGAAGGTCCTCAACCACTGATTCCTTCCGTCTCAGGGACTCCAACCAAGGCAGTCTACGTTGACCCACACGACCCAGACCACAGGTCAGTGACTTTGTAGACTGGTGCCTGGTATTGGTCTGGCCACCCCGAATCTTCTTCCAACCTAATGCAACTTCCCGTAGCATGCCACATTGAAGTAGGCGGTGGCTCGAGAGAGCTGATGGAATAAACGGGTGGAGATAAATGGAAATGTTCGGAATAAAAAAGTCATTCACTATTTAAAGTAAGTTCTCAGAAGTAATGTTCGCGATAATCTTCTTAACTTCCTGTGAAGATGTGATTAAAAAGTATTCATTTTAGTAGGACATATTCCCACTAATTGTTAGCTCAATAAAAACGGAAAGAATATAAAATACAGAGAATTTTCAATGACTTTGGGGTAGGAGAGTTATAATAAAACACTGGTTAGTGACACAATCGGGGAGAAAAGAAAGATTGGCGATGAAAATTTTGAAACAAACAGAACAATAAACGAATATATTTTGAAGTCGATTTGCTTAGTCCTCAGCTAGCCCTTCAATTATCATTTGACCCCTCAAATCTTACTAGAGTTGAGAATTCTGTAACAATTGTGATGAAGAGGGATATTAGTTTCTGATGACTTGTTTTATGATGTTTTAATGATTACCATCTGAATCTACTAATTAAGTTGACTAATGTAAGAAATATAGCGTGAAACTAGAGTGTGCTTCGTTAGAATTGTTTTGCTTATTAGCTGTTTTACTTCTTAAGAAAATATAATGATTACATCTTATTTTTCTGCCACTTTCTGAGGCCTCAGGGATCATAGTTACTCAGTACTTACTGGATATTGGAAGAGGAGCTGTGGTTCATTGGTGTAAGCAGTCACATATCACTGGTTTGAACTCCTCTCTACTTATTGAGGTTCGGGAAACCAGGTAGTATTATACGTCCTCACACAATAGATACGGTTAATTATATATTGAACGCATCTGCACTTGGTTGTTCAGCCACAGTGTGTTTATGTGTATGTTGTTTTCGCAATACCCACATAAGTTTTTATTGCCCACTTAGGTCCTAATCTTACCTTAGGAACGTCTCTAACATTGCAGCTAGATTACTGAAGTCTTTTGGAATCACTGTAGGCCACATGCCTACAAAATCTCTTAACTCTTTGTTCTACAAGCCGAAAAATACAATAACAACGGAAGATAAACCAAACGTAATAGATAAAATAAACTTCGGAAGCTGTGAAAAACGCTATATCGGACAGAGTGATTAGCGTCTTCGTATCCACCGACATGAACGTCAACTAGCAATGAAATATCACGTTCCGTTTTCGCTCATGGACAATTGTGGACTGAAATTCCAGTGGGAAGATGTGGAAATCTGAGATAGATGAAATTCGAAGGATACCGGAGAATTTTTAGAAGCGTGGCACTCAGATCTATCAATGGTCAATAGACATATTGACATTAACTCACTCTGCTAACCAATACGAAACAACAAGAAGGTCGAAGTTCACATCACTAGGACAGCCAGTCGAAATCCTAATGGAGACGATGACAAGATTTCAGCTGAAACTGGTTCCAGTCCATCATTTTCTCTAACGCACTTATCGGTGGCCTGCATTAATTACATCTCTTGGTTTGAAAGTGGTATTAAATCCCGTTGACTAGAATTTTTTGGAATGGGTTTCTCTGTTGAGTGTAAAACGATTGTTTAACATCGGAAAAATGTTCGGAATCGAGTATTTGTGTTTACCTGCTTAGAAATGTTAATCAGTGTTCGCGAAGAATATTGATCTGAATTTCTGTTGAGTTTCTTCATTAGTATTCGAGTACAAGTGGATTTCTACTTCTGAGCTTTATAGGTCCGGTATCCTTTTGATGATTCAGTGATTTGATTATGGTTATTGATTAAGAAATTCTATCTACTCCGGAGGATTTGTGATCAATAAATCTTAGTGAGACTAGAAAAGATTTTATCAAAATTTTTCAGCTTACATCTGCTATAGTAGAGATCAGATATCCTAATGCCTAATAAAGATTGAATTTACTGTATAGCTTGGTGCCTTTTCCTTGTTAATAAGGCTGTGAGATATTACCAAAAGCGGAAGTCACCAAAACTTTTTTTATAGTTCGCTTTACTAGCTGCTTTCTTTAACACGGTTACATTTCAGTGTATAAGTTTATAGTTAGTGTATTTTTTTGAATTTTCATCGTACTCACAGACATGTGTTATTTACTGCTGTAGCCATGCTTCACGCTTTAAAGCGCGCCAAGTAAATTTAGTGTAAGTTGTTTAGAAGTTTGTGTACCTGTTTAAATGCTAATGGGAATGTAACTGATGAGCTTCCCAATCGTATATCAAAAGTAAGAGTGGGATACACCAGCTCTGTCACCATTGACACTATTGTTGTAAAACGTTGAGTATACAAAGCGCCAGTTCAGGCAGTTTCCCTTTATTCCTGTAAAACCTGGCCTCTGTGAACTGCGGATGTCTGACTGCTTTGCGTTCACGATGATCATTGTCTTTGTGGGATTGTTCGTATCCGATGGAGATACCATGTAAATAACTCTAGGTTGACGCTGAAAGCTTTGGGGTTATGGAAATGGTCATTTATTGTATGGTCATCTTGAGACGCTGGCTTTGGTAGCTTTAACATATTTTACGCATGTCATCCCATTTGTTCCCACATCGTCCACCGTTTGCTTTCCACGGGACTGGTTAGGCGAAGGGAAGGGGTGGTGGGTATATTACTTGACACCAAAGATATTGGTATCGGTTCGCCATATTTAGGTGCATCATAACTTATTGAAATGACTCCGAGAAGTCATGCCACTCAGTGGCTCAGAACAGAAATGCGTGGCGTTCATGTTTCTACTAGTGCTACAAAGATAAACGAAAATGGTGAATACTGCTTCTTTTACAGCCCACCTTCGATTTTGTTTCTATTTTGTATTCCATTCCCTGTGTTGGCTTATTCTTTTATATGGCTTATATCTTGGTGCCGATGGTGTATCGAGCTCGCGTTTAAATTGACACACCTAATGTTGCTACAGGTAACTGGGTTTTATTGCCACTAGCACTTTCGTTGTATATAGTAGCAGTACTGTAGTAATATCTTATGCAACCACATAAAGATTCAGACACTGAGTTTCGGCTGACACAATGTGTCAGGGAGAGGGATTTCTCGAAGATTTGATGAGAAACCTTGACGGTGGGCACAGCTCCTCCAAACTCAAATTGATAAACCCTATAAGGGGATTCCGTTTTCCCCATCATCTTACTAGATAAAAATGAGAAAATTTATCAAAGTTATCGCAGGTTCACAGCATCTGAAGGAAATTAGTGAAGGAGAACAGTACTGTGAATAACCAAAGCGATGTAATCTTAGAATAAATGATTAGAGTGATAAGGTGTTTAAATTCAGATGAAGTTAGACAGTCACGACGTTTTGTTAGCTTAAATTACTTGGCTACGGGGACAATCGGTAGAGCTATGCTATCTTACCGTCCTTGGATGACTACCGAAAGATCTTGAAGTGGCCAATCAAGATTGTAGTGACTGTACAATCGTTCTGGGAAGCTCTGAATTATTGAAGTGATATCACCGATTATAGGCAGACGTATGCATAATTTTGATGATGACTATAGTTTTGATTCGTGGGATTTTTTAAAATATGATTGCATATCACATAAAGAAAAAAAATGTAGACATGAAGTTCCCACTGGGGTATGCTCTAGTATTACGTTGCACACCCTAAAACGTAATTACAACACATATTTTAACTCCCTAGATAGTATCATGTAATCTAAGTTAGCTTGGCAATACCCATTAAGTTGTAAAGCAGCAAATGCACAGCGATTAGGTCTTCTTTTCAGTACCGGCGCTGAAAATATTTCCGTAGGGGTTCGTGCAAATAATTTAGAGACAATGGAGAACCAGGTTAGCATTCCATTTCAGCTGGTCAAATGTTTTGTAATCATATAGATGAGCATCGCTATTGTAAGTACATTTTTTTAAACGGAAAACTAGTCTATAACATAAATAAGTCTTATATATACTGTAATTCCCTTTCATTTGTGTACTAAAACTAGAAGGAAATGGTCACTTTTTATTGGTGGGTTCAAGGTCATTCGGTAGTCTCTCAAGGAGGACAAGTTGCTGTAGTTCTATCGAACATTAATATTCATAAGCAAGAAACTGAAACCTTTTAGTTATTTAGCTAAAAGTTACATTGATTGAAAGAAGGCAACTGGAATCATGATAACTCAAAATATTTGATGTGTAGGTGTCAACTAGGATGAAATTAGCTTTTGTAAACCGACAAGCTAAAATATAAAACCAAAACAGTTAAACATCAATTTAATTTTAAAAGGGAATGGTAACTGAGTTACTTACAAGATCGCAACCTCCACGATCAATTATGCAATATTTAGTTTCATTATAGGTTGACACCTGCTAGAGAGTAACTGAAAAAACTCAAAATCAGTGAACAGTGTATTCATCCTTGTTTGAGATTCTTGAAGAGTGCTCATTCACCACCGACAAATCATTGTACCTAAGATTTTTGGGAATCACACTGACAGTTGATTGCTAGCTTGTAATACAGTGGTTCAGGCTTACTAACCTATATTAGGGGTAGGAATGAAGGGACTATTGTCCATTGTCCTTCGCTGTTATTGTTCTTCACTTAGATGGACCAAATAATGAACTTGGACGGTGTGTGGGTATCATTGTGTGGTCATCTCGTTATTTGTTGATAGTGAGTAGTAAATAGAAAATAAGACGATCAATTAATCATGTTTAGGACTGATTATATATATATATATATATATATATATATATATATATATATATATATATATATATATATATATATATACGTACATCCTAGTGAGTAATTTTATCCTTCTTAAGATTCAGACTACTCACCCGTCCACTTTTGAACATTTATTTATTCTTTTGTTACTTTTCAGGTATACTACTTAGTTACAATAAAGTTCAAGAGTCCTGTATTATATGAAAGAAAGTGTTTTTAGCGGACTTGGCTATTCCAGTCATATGAAAGGTCATGATAATTTGTGCATCTTTCCTCACTTGTATATCAAAAATTCAGTATTAGGTGATATTATATTTTCTTACTCTGGACATTGTTTGATGCTGTTCATAAAACAGCAGTAACAAAATGAGCATAGTCTTTTGATTAGATGATATTCTAAAACTTATGTCAGGCAGCAACCATGCTTTGATCAAAATGAACAGAAAATACGATCTAATTCAGTAAGAAATTCAGTGTACACAGATAATGCTCATTTATGAAGGTTATATGAATTAATCTATGAAATAAAGTGATTTATGTTACTTAGTCGTATTGATTTTTCTCTATAACTTGAAGGTCACAGATATTCAGGTGCATTTATTATATTGAGTTTTAGCAGTCTAAAAATATGAAGTACTTTCACAGGTTAGTGATGAATACTTGACCTCACTAGAATGCATTAAATTGTTACCACAGCTCATATCAGTACATCAAGTAAAAAGGTAGTGAACTGCAAGATGAAGATAATAAAATTTATTCAAAAGAAATATAAAGTACTAAAAGAGAAAGGAAGAATGAGAAAATGGTGAGATTCGGAATAGCGTCGTTAAGATGACGATAATATGTGTATACATCTGCACCACTGACGTCGGTTCTCAGCCATGCCATCACCTACGGTCAGTCACCAACCACTGGTTTCACTTGTCCGCATCGCCCACATGGCTCAAACCAACAATCAAACGTTTCATACATTGATGCCATGTTTTAGTCTGGCCTTTTTCCAGTCTGAGCCTACTTCGGCCAACATTTTATGACGAGGCGGACGGTGACTAGGCATACGTAACACATGTCGATGAAAGTTCATAACCTCGTCAACTGACTTACCTCTTCTCCCTAAAACTCTACACTTGAGCCTGACTTCTGCGTCACGTAGTGACACCACGGAATACGGCCTATACCACGAAGGCGACGGTGGTCAAACACCTGAGGCCTTCTCATGTCTTCCACCTTCAATGGCTATGTTTCACAGCCATACAGTAGAACAGACCGGACTGCTGTGCGGTACACGCGACTCTTAATCGACAATCGGATATCACGGCGGCGCCATAGGTAGCGTAAATTGGCAAAAGCCAATAGAGCCTTTTGTATCCGTGCAAGGATTTCATCGGCAGCTAACCCACCAGGGTTGATCCTACTTTCCAGGTAAGTGAAGCAGTTGACACACTCAACCGCCTCACTCTCTACTGTTAGCCGCGGTACCGCTGAAGACCAGTCCTGGAGCAAAACTTGCATTTGGGTGGTAGGAAACGCATCTCAAACATTCTCAAATTCCCACTCAAAGTGTTCAGAATACTCTACATCTTGTCAGCGTCTTCACCTGACAGGACTATGTCATCTGCGTATTCTAGGTCTGACGAAAATTCTCCTGCTTTTACGTCAACCTCTGAGTAGTCTGGTGACGAGATGGAGACCTCCATAAGAATATCTATGATAAAATTGAATAATAATGGAGAGAGTGGGCACTCTTAACGGACACCACTCGATGAGCATAGCTCCCTGGACATCTCACCATAGGCTCCAACATGCCCACAAGTGTTCGAGTAGAGAGCTTTCAATGACGTGATGTACTTACTCGGCACGCCTTTCAGTGAGAGACATTGCCATTAGAGTTCTCGATCAACAGGGTCGAATGCCGCCTTTAGGTCGAAAAATGCAGCTAGTGTTGGGCGCCGGTAAGAATGTTCAAGTTCCAAAACCTGGGGAAGTGTGAATATTTGGTCAATACATCTGCGGCCGGGTCTAAAGCCTGCCTGGTTTCTCGGACTTGCTGTTCCCGAGCCCCACTCAGGCGTCTGTTGATTATAGAACCTAGAATCTTAGAAACTATGTTCGTCAGGCTGATTCCTCTGGGTTATCACAAGAGGACTTCTCGCCTTTCTTAAAGACTGATGTAGACCAGTCAAAGGGAATCATATTTGATTCCCATATACTGGTAAATACTTCCGTTAACCTGACTAAGAGCACCTTACCACCATCCTTGTATACCTCAGGAGTTGGTCTGTCTGGTCCTGCCGCCCTTCCTGGTTTCAGGTTACCTACCGCCTTCTCAACTTCTAGTGTTGGGGGGCTTATCTCAATGTTCCATTCAGGATCCGACTAGATAGCAGGCAACGCAATCGTGGCTGGAGGCCAGTAAAACTGTCCCTCAAAGTGTCCTGCCCATCGTTCCAGTCGTCTCCCTAGCGAGTGAGTCGTAGATCCGTCCTTCTCTGCTACAGACTCACTAACCGCAGTTGACCTTTCCCCCGTCCCCTTAATAAGTCTAAATAACTGTCTACTGTTATCAATCACCGCCGCCTTTTCCATCTCTTTAGCCTTCGCTGCCAACGACTGCTCGCGATCGTTGCGGAGACTTTTTCTCAACCTACTTTTGGGTTGCGCTTTCTCTTCAGAGGCCAGGCCTTCCAACAGAACCCAGAGGGGAAACGACGAGTTGAGTATCCGAGGATGACATGGAGGAGATGGTGTGAGGAAGAAATGAAAGCTTCTAGGCAGTCGTGGAGCCAGGTTCAAAAGACTGCAGATTGGAGAGTGAAATGGCGACGTGCTACTGAATCTCTATATTCCACTAGGAACCCAAGGGATAAATAATATAATAAATGAAATCACTATATTTCTGACTGAAAATCAGTGATATTGGGTACCAAGATTATTTGTTCAAAATGACATCTAACTGATATGATTAGACGATCTTATCGTCTTAAGGTGAGATAAAACTTAATACAGGAAATATAGAAAACTAAGTAGCGAGATAAACGTAGCAGTGTAGGACAGGTCATACACTTACGTTTGTTCTAATTGTATCACTCTGTATTGCATGAACAGACAATAAAAAAGATTCAGTATATTAAAATTAGTAAGAACAAAATATGGATAAAAAAAATAGTCTTTTGGTACCAGATTTTGAGTAAGGTTGAATATGATATATGTTTGCACCACTTTAGACAAATTTGAACCAACTCACCTAAAGTTTCTGATCAGTACTTCCTATTATAGCAAGGATCTTGGTGATGAAAATTTCATTGCCCTTTCTGATTAGGACCAGTAGTTTAAGGCTTCTTGTAGCAGTTCCACGTATTCATCTGTCTATGCATAGAAGTGTTTCATTTTATTCCCCTGCTGGCTGACTTATCTATTTCATCATCACTTGAATAAACATTTCTTACTCAATGATCACGCTTCATTCAAGTTGCTAATGACTTAAAATCTTTGTGTTCTTCTTGAGCCCCACTTGTGGGAGTAGGATAAAATGGACTACTGAATAGTTTTTCCACATTCTTTAGCAGGCAACTTAATGTTTCAAAAGCATCAGAGATGGTGTAGGTTGAAAGAAATCACACAAGCCTTTGCTATGCATATCTAAACTTCATCTATGGCAATTTCATCTCGCTTTATACTACTGTGTATATCTGTGAAGTATGCAACACACTTAACCTTTAGCAGTTACTTAATTATTATTATTATTAGACCCTTGTGTTCCTAGTGGAACATAGGGCTTCAGTAGCACGTCTCCAGTGACCTCTGTTCTCTGAGATCTTTTGAACCTGGTTCCACGACAGCCCACAAGCTCTCATTTCCTCCTCGCACGATCTCCTCCATGTCACCTTCGACTCGACGTCCAACTTGTCGCTTCCCATGGGGACTCCACTCCAGTACCTGGCCTGACGCGCGATGTCCCCAGTCGGCCTTCTCAGTGCATGCCCAATCCATCTCCATTTCTTCCTGTATATTTGTTGAGTGATAGGTTCTTGGTTGGTTCGTTCCCAGAGCTCCTTGTTGCTTATTTTTTCTGGCAATCCATCTGATCTTCAGTAGCGAGCGTAAGCAGTTGTTGATGAATGTCTGTAGTTTATTGGAAGTCCCTTTCGTAACGCGCCAAGTCTCTGAACCATACAGAAGCACTGACTTGACGTTGGTGTTGAAAATCCGTATCTTGTTCCACATGCTGAGTGCAGAAGATCTCCACACTGGTTTCAGGCTAATGAACGCCTGTCTTGCTTTCCCGATTCTGACTTTGACGTCCTCGTCCGTCCCGCCTGTAGTTGAAACAGTGCTTCCTAGATAAGTGAAGGAGGTTACTTCCTTTAAGTTTCTCCCGTTGACGGTGATTGGAGTTTGTTGTTGTTGGTGGTGGTGAGGTATCTTCATCACTTCTGTCTTCTCTATATTCACCTGAAGACCCGTTTTCGCTGCCTCTTCTATCAACTTGTTAGTTTTTGCCTGTAGATCTTCAAGTTTGTGTAACATTAGGCACAAGTCATCGGCGAAATCCAAGTCTTCTAGGTTCTTTTCCTCAGTCCAGTGTATCCCCCTCTTCTCGCAGCTCCCCACTGTTTGCTGCATGATCCAGTCGACCACAATAAGGAATATCATGGGGGATAGTAGGCAACCTTGTTTCACTCCTGTCTTCACTTCAAAAGCATCACTGAGCTTTTCATTGTGAATTACTTGGCAGTTACTTTAGTCAAATCGATTTTTTTATGACTGTCACCACACGAGTTCCATCTATTCTTACACATTAGAAGAACAATTGTTCGATGGCAGTTTAAAATGGTTATTGTTGATTTTATTTTGCCAAACTGTACCCTGGTAAGATGAACAAGAAATTCTTTGTTATCATTCTAATAGGCTTCTAGAGGTCCTTACAGCTTTTATATTATTTGTTATGGTATCCCTCTTAGCATTCAGCAACAGACTTGTGATGCACAGTATTGCTTAATCTTTTAGTGAATAAGATGTATTAGTATCCTTGATCAGTAGACTTTCATCAGAACAGCGGTTAGTAGTGTGGGATAAGTTATCACTGGGTTACGGTTTTGTTTATGAGAACCTCTGTCATTGACTTAAAAGTAAGTCTACTTTCTTGTAACCTCAAAGACCAAATTTTTTCAGAGCAATACAATCTTATGTATCTGCTTCAATAAATAACAGCACATAGAAAAGAATAACATCTAGGTAGTTATTGATAGCAAAATGTTTATAAGAGGACAACGAACTAGTAAATCATGGTTATTAGAATGTTTGAACTTTGTTTAGTTTTCAGTGGTTGTTCTTACCCTTCAACAACTGAGCTGTACTATCTGTGTAATATAATCTAGTTTGCCCAAAATCCCCCAAATAGCTACTACAAACAAGTTAATGATGAATAGTGACTAACAGTGGAATCCAGGACTCGTGTTTAGTCCTATTTTGGACTCGTCAGTTGGCATCAACACTTTATGTATCATGAAATAATCTACTAGCTTATTCTAAACTTTTAGATATCC